CAGATTTTGTAACAAGATTCGATTTAGTTAATGCATTAGGCATTTATTTGATTAAAAAAAATACAGTAAAAACCATAATATTATGAAATATTATTACAATTTAAAATAATAAAATAGTAATAATTTCATACAATTTAACATGTAATTCATTCCTATGATGACAAAGCTGAATGTTCAGCAGCCATGACTCCAGTCTTAAAGGTCACATGATCCTTCCAAATTAAGAGTTTTCTGATGTTTTTGAAATAAGTCTCTTATGCTTACCAAGGTTGCATTTATTTGATAAAAAAAATACAGTAAAAACCATAATATTATGACATATTATTACAATTTAAAATAATAAAATAGTAATAATTTCATACAATTTAACATGTAATTCATTCCTATGATGACAAAGCTGAATGTTCAGCAGCCATTACTCCCGTCTTAAAGGTCACATGATCCTTCAGAAATCATTCTAATATGCTGATTCTGTGCCCAAGAAACATTTTTATCAAATTGAAAACAGCTGTGCTGCTTAATATTTTCAAGGAAACTGTGATACATTTTTTGACAATAGTTTGATGAATAGGAAGTTCAAAAGAACAAACTGTAATTCAAATAGAAGTCTTCTGTAACATTATAAATGTCTTTAAAAAACTTACTGACCCCAAACTTTTGGTGGTGTAGGTAGTGTTAATTGAAAAATATACTATTATTCATTAATTCCTGTTTGTTCATTATGCATGAAATAATGTTAATTTATACATAAATTGCATTCATATATGCAGAAATTGATATTAACCTAGATTAATAAATGCTATGAAAAGTACTGCTGTTCATTTTTAGTTCATGGTACCTAATGCTTTAGTGCTTTAGTTTTAGTTATGAATATGTTATCGGATTAAAAAAAGAAATTGTTACCCATAATTCATAGTTCAATTTATCTAGAGGAAGCTTAATCATAGGATGGGTGTTGCAAAGAAACACTTCCCCACCATTGATACGAACTGCTTAACATTCCTTTATCCGTGTATTCCCGCTTCTCTCCACCCAGGTTGCCCACTCTGTTTCTGTCAGAGTGTGTGCTGGTGTACATGACCGCTGAGCAGTCCTCCAAACTGGTGAACTGGGTTGCAGACACCTTCCCCGTGGCCATGTTCATTAACTACGAACAGGTGAGTTCATTACGTTAAACGGCTTCATTACTACAGTCATTAAAAAATTTGTCGCGAGCTCTTCCTGTCTGCACCTCTAACTGTCCAGATCTTTTCAGGTGAACATGAATGATCGCTTCGGGCAGATCATGATTGAGAACCTGCAGAGACGACAGTGCAATCTAGCTGGGGTGGATGTGTGTCAGTCTCTGGACTCTCAAGTATGACATTTTACACTTAGGACTAGCAACTTTCTTTATAATGTACTTCATTGATATCGTACAGCTGTCATACTGTATGATTGTCGACTGTTTTACTCCTTACAGTAAGACGGTGTCTTTCTATGTACAAACAAAACGTTAGACTGGGTTGTACTTGGAATTCAAAGTTGTTTTCCTGCTCAAAATACAATGGGTGATCAAGACTCAGGAAAACAGAGCAGTTAAGCACAAGGCATTGTTTATGCGACCAACGCCAAGACTTAAGTCTCACAAGCAGTATCAGTGCAAGTCTCTCAAGGTTAACACCAGCATGGTGACCTTCTGTCAACATTGCTTGATATTTGGGTTTAGATTGAAAATGTGGTAGTGTTTATGATGATAGTATGTTATTTCAGTTTTCATTAATGTATTGTGAGTCGTATCTTATTTTCTGTTTTTATTTTAAAGTTAAAGATTTAATCATTTTGTACCACCACGATGACCTTAGGGTATCCGGGCGGTCAACAAGGCTTGGTCTGGTCAATTTGCATTCAGATTGAAAATGTGGTAGTGTTTATGATGATGGTATGTTATTTTAGTTTCATTAATATACTAATATAGATTGATTGATATTTTGAACTAGTTCATACTTTATTATTTTCTGTTTTCATTTTAATTTTAACGTTTTTTTGTAGACGTCTCAGATAATATGGTCAACATGGCTTGATATTTGTATTCAGATTGAAAATGTGAAGTGTTTATTATGATAGTGTGTCATTTTAGTTTCCTTAATATACTAATGCAGATGTATTCATATTTTGAATTAGTTTAGAACTAATTTAATATTTTCTGTTTTCATTTTAATTTTGAAGTTTTAATCATTTTTTGCAAATCTGTAGATGCCTCAAAATATCTGGTCAACATGGCTTGAAATTTGTATTCAGATTGAAATGCGTCGCGTGTATGAAATGTGTGAAGTGTGAATGTTGTTTTTATTTTCATTAATATACTAATATAGATTTATTAATATTTGGAATTCATTTGAGATTGAAAAGGTGGTGCTTATGATGATAGTGTGTTGTTAGATCTTATTTGAATGTTTTCTGTTTTCATTTTCATTTCAATTTTCAGTATTTTGTTGTGTTTTGTCTATGTATAATTCTATATAGTTTTTATTCATTTTTATTTAAGTTTCCGTTATTTTAATACTTTGAGTTACTCTGAACAATAATTATGAATGTTGCCTTGGCAATTAGCTAAAATAATGTTTCAAGTAATGCAAATCAACAGTTTTTAATGGTTTTAGTTAATGATAATCACCCTGATGTGTGTTTCCACAGAAGGAGCGCTTTCTGTCAGCAGGCTGGGAAAGTGTAAACGCACTGGACATGATGACCGTCTACAGCGTGCTTCCTCGGGAAGATGTAGCTAGGTACACAAGCCAACACTCAAGTACAGTTGTAATAAAGTGTATATTTATAACTGCACAACCAGTGCCAGGAACGTTTGAGATCAGAATCTCTACAATGACGCTCTTTGTTTTACAATCACAGAATTGAGCGTCTAGAATTTTTAGATGAAAGGGAACTTCTCCAACAGCTTCTCCAACACTACTGCATCTGCTGGGCTGTAAAAGATAAGCTCAGTCTAGGTGAGGGTTCCATTTGAACCACTTAACTGCATTCTAGAGTTTCATGGATCGTTTGACGTCACCTGTAACTAATAGCGGACTTCTCTTTTCAGGCCTCTCGCAAATTGGGTTTTAAACGTCAATAGGGACTTGGTTGTAAAAGTTTCATTTGAAACGACATCACCAAGAGTGGACAGGACACTCTTCTTGACGCTTTTCAGAGGACAGAAAGGGGAAGTCATTTATATCTTTATTTCCATTTTTGAGCACAATAAAAATGGAGAGTACTGGCATCAGCGTCTTTTCTTCTGTTTTACTTGTCTCCTTCTGTCTCCCATGTGACCGACGTGTCTCACTAAAGTGCCATATTAATTCAGGCATGTTTTACAAATGTATAGCATAGCTGTTATCATGAAACATTCATAAGATGAACTATTTTGTTAGCTATATGAATAATAATGGGTTTTTGTAAAAGCACTGAATATTCAGGAACGGTGATGATGAATAAAGACAATTAAGAGTTTTCATTTTCATTTCAATTTTCAGTATTTTGTTGTGTTTTGTCATTTGAATTTTTTATAATTCTATATAGTTTTTATTCATTTTTATTTAAGTTTCCGTTATTTTAATACTTTGAGTTACTCTGAACAATAATTATGAATGTTGCCTTGGCAATTAGCTAAAATAATGTTTCAAGTAATGCAAATCAACAGTTTTTAATGGTTTTAGTTAATGATAATCACCCTGATGTGTGTTTCCACAGAAGGAGCGCTTTCTGTCAGCAGGCTGGGAAAGTGTAAACGCACTGGACATGATGACCGTCTACAGCGTGCTTCCTCGGGAAGATGTAGCTAGGTACACAAGCCAACACTCAAGTACAGTTGTAATAAAGTGTATATTTATAACTGCACAACCAGTGCCAGGAACGTTTGAGATCAGAATCTCTACAATGACGCTCTTTGTTTTACAATCACAGAATTGAGCGTCTAGAATTTTTAGATGAAAGGGAACTTCTCCAACAGCTTCTCCAACACTACTGCATCTGCTGGGCTGTAAAAGATAAGCTCAGTCTAGGTGAGGGTTCCATTTGAACCACTTAACTGCATTCTAGAGTTTCATGGATCGTTTGACGTCACCTGTAACTAATAGCGGACTTCTCTTTTCAGGCCTCTCGCAAATTGGGTTTTAAACGTCAATAGGGACTTGGTTGTAAAAGTTTAATTTGAAACGACATCACCAAGAGTGGACAGGACACTCTTCTTGACGCTTTTCAGAGGACAGAAAGGGGAAGTCATTTATATCTTTATTTCCATTTTTGAGCACAATAAAAATGGAGAGTACTGGCATCAGCGTCTTTTCTTCTGTTTTACTTGTCTCCTTCTGTCTCCCATGTGACCGACGTGTCTCACTAAAGTGCCATATTAATTCAGGCATGTTTTACAAATGTATAGCATAGCTGTTATCATGAAACATTCATAAGATGAACTATTTTGTTAGCTATATGAATAATAATGGGTTTTTGTAAAAGCACTGAATATTCAGGAACGGTGATGATGAATAAAGACAATTAAGAGTATAGAATGATGGTTAAGTGCACACGATTTTATTGTTGCACTTTGATTTGAAACCATTTTACACAATCTACATTGTAAAAAAATTACAGAATTCAAATCCTAGGGAGAGAGATGCCCTTGTCAAACCACATAAATTTGTCATAAGCAGCCCTCAATAAAAAAAATTCTGATTATAATGTAGTTATTAAGTTGGTTGATAATTGTAGGTATAGAATTAAAAAACAACAACAAAAAAAACTCATACTGTGGATTTTCTTTTTGACTATATAGTAGCATTCAACACTTTGGGTCTTTTTTTCATAGTACCATTCAACTGTTTGTTTGTTTTTTAAAGGAAAGTAATACTTTTATTAAACAAGGACGCATTACATTGATCACAAGTGGCAGTAAAGACATTCATAATGTTATAAAAGATTTCTATTTTAAATACATGCTGTTATATTGAACTTTCATCAAAGAATCCTCATTGAGAATTAAGCAGGGCAATTGTTTTCAACATTGATAATCAATAATAAAATAATAATAATAATAAAAAATCTGCATATTAGAATGATTTCTGAATCACGTGACATTGAAGACTGGAGTAATGGCTGCTAAAATTCAGCTTTGCCATCACAGGAATAAATTACATTTTAAAATAAAATATTAAAATACAAAACAAAATGTTTTTAACTGGTAATAATATTTCACACTTGATCAGATAAATGCAGCTTTGGTGAGCATAAGAGACTTCTTTCAAAAACATAAAAAAATCTTACAATACTAAACTTTTGAACCGTAAAGTAAGTGTTTTTTCAACGTCACAAATAACTACAAGGAAGCAGTTTTAGAAAACAAAAGGCGATTAAAAGACACACAAAAAAAGGAAACGTTTCCTCTTTAGCCATCAATGCCGGGCATCCTGCAGTCTTTCTCTGTATTCATTTTTGTCAGTGACTCCCTGACCCAAACCGACCTTGTGCTGTTATTTACTGCCACAGGAACCCCGATTTAATGCATGAGAGTGAGAGCAAACACGGTATAAATGCAAATGATCTGCTGCAGGCCATGCTGAACTGCAGAGCGATCTATAATATGCCATTCAATTTTTAAAGTTTGGGAAACTGCATTAACTCAGATCAATTCAGTTGCATAAGACAGGCGAGCAGACCTTGAGTGACATGAGAGTTGGTTATGCACATTTTTATTGTCCTCGGCTGTGTAATAGCAGACTGGTGGATGATAAGCTATATCCTGAAGCCGTCACCCCCCAAACAATGCTCTCCACTGCTGTAATTGTAAAGTGTTTTTCCCAAGCCACCAAGAGTGATGACGGGGGAGACTGTTGGCCCGCCTTACCACCACTCCACCCCATCCTCTGTCCACCTTTATCAGTACGAAGCCGCAGCATGTGAGCACAGATCACCTGAAGTCTCACACAGCCAAGATGACCTCAGCCGAGTCCAAGTCAGAGCTCTTTACAGTAGCCACTGGCGATGGAGCGGATGCCCATCAGAATCAGCCGAAGAAGTTGTCCTTCTATGAGCACTACATTCAGCCGTGCCTGGCGGAGGTCCTCGGCTCCACTCTCTTCATGTTTGTGGGCTGTGTGTCGGTCATGGGCAACGTGGGCATCAGTGGGAGCATCCAGCCTGCCCTGGCACATGGACTAGCACTGGCTATAGCAATTGCCATTTTTGGAGAAATCAGGTAACTGCCTTATGTTCTGTGTGCTTGAGTTAGCAAATGACTAAACTTTGAAATAGAGAATAAAAATGAAAAATAATATATTTAAATATTAAACAATGTTTAGAATATCTATATTAGGTTTAGTATATTTATAATATTAAACATCTAAATTGAACAATGAATAATGCAACCAAAACTGTAAACTGAAAAACATTTATTTTGCATTTACTTAAAATATCTGATTACTCTGCAAAAAATTTTTTATAAATAATAAAAGTATTATTAAATTATAATTTCATATTTTTATGTTTCATTTAAAAATGTAATTTATTTTTTTATTTAAATGTAAAAGTTTTTACATTTAAAAGTATTTCATATTTTCTTGTAGGATTTTATTCTATTTTATATTTTATTTTATTGTTATTTTTTATTATTGAAGAAAATAAAATGTAGCCATTCATTCTGAACCAAAACTGTATAATTTATGCTTGATTGCTTACATTTGATTGCCCTATCTTATCCTGTCTTCCAGTGGTGGTCACTTCAATCCAGCTGTGTCTGTGTGTGTTTACCTCATCGGAGGAATGGAACTGATGCTCCTGGTGCCATACATGCTCTCACAAATGTTAGGTGGAGTGATTGCTGCCAGCCTCGCCAAAGTATGTGTCTAAGCTTCTCTGTTAATATTTGCGACTTGACATGGTGGAGCCTTGATGCGCAAATTACTGAAAGTTCAATCATTAACACTGACGACAAATGTACTGACGATAAAACTTTCCCTTGATTCAATAGTTTTATTATTTATCTTATTATTTTTTTTTTTCTCTCCTTAGGCTGTCACTACAAATGAAGCATTTGCAAATGCAACGGGAGCGGCGTTTGATGCTGTTCAGACCTCTCATGGCACTGGCTCTGCGACTGTGGCAGAGATGATTATGACGCTCTTCTTGACTATGGTTGTCAGCATGGGTGCCGTGAACGGAAGGACCCGAAGTCATCTGGCTCCTTTCTGTATTGGACTCACTGTGACTGCAAATATTTTGGCTGGGTAGGAAGCTAATATTTCATGCAAAAATAAATTATATATAGCCTATTGTACAGAATACTGTGCTACAGTATATTTTAAATAAGATTTAGTCTTCTGTTTTGCAGCCATAAAGCGCATTTGTGCTAAATATTAAAAGACATTAAATATAGGAATGACTGGAACCACTGTTTAACATCATGTTTAAACATCTTTTTGAGTCTCCAACTTTAATATAATACAGTACATCTGCTAATGAAATGAAAAACGTTCAGAAATCTTCTACCTGAACTATGTAGATGGGTGTGAACTACAAGTTCACTACTGTAACAACTGTAAACATGGATGCTTTACATTTTGTGTGTTTTAATGTTATAATGTTAATTTAATTATTATGCAGGAAACATCTGAATTCAAAACAGCTTAATAGAGTGAAAAAAGTAGAACAAATACAACACTAAACATATTTTTGTTTATAAACACGTCTATATGATTTTTATTACATTTAATTATTTTATATAGAATTGTTATAATTATACAATAATTATACATACTTTAAAACTTTAAAAGGTATAAAACAATAGAAATATAAAAACAGAAAACTGTAAATATGGCTATTATGGTAAAGAGAGATGGATAGATAGATAGATAGATAGATAGATAGATAGATAGATAGATAGATAGATAGAGAGATAGAATATTGTTGTATATCGCTGAAACTAATGGTGTTTTAACTCATTCTGGTTCTCACCTAACTGTATTCATGTTTCATTCGCTTTTATAAGCAAATGTTGACAGCCTGTCACAATCAAAACTCATTTTCTCACTTGTTTTAATGTGGAGACAGAGGTGTATTTAATGAACATGGCAACCAAATGAACTGAAAATCACAGGATATGTTACAGGAAACGAAGACATTAAACAGCCTTAGAACAATAATGGCAATAGGAAATAATGATTCCTAACAATAAAATGTGCTGTATTTGGGTCACTTTTTAAAGCCAGTCTTCCAAGCTCTCAGTTTGCAGGGATTTCACTGATTTTGTCTTGCGTGTTCAACAGGGGTGGAATATCAGGAGCATGTATGAATCCAGCACGGGCCTTCGGGCCAGCAATAGTGTCCGGTCACTGGGAGTACCACTGGATATATTGGGTTGGACCTCTGACTGGTGCTCTGGTCACTGTCAGTCTTGTGAGGTATTCCTGCTGCTCACTTTTACATTGCACAATGACTGATTTTCTTAATTTAGAAAGAGTGTGAAGTCATTGAGTGTATAAAGATAACTGACTTTGAATCTGATCGGATTGAAATAAGAATTCAAAGTTCATTTGTGTTTTATGTACATTACAGTTTTTGTGTTTGAAACTTTCAGTCCTGATATGTAATATGTTAGTAAAGTATCTGAACAATTGCATTTTTCGTTCTAGGTTGGTAGTGGGAGACAAGAAGATTCGTGTTATTTTCAAGTGATGCAGAGGGGCCCTCAGAGGATCTCATGTTGTAAGCTTTTTAAAGTCAAGATAACTTGTAAAGCATTGTATGATATTGTCAAACATTTATATTAGTGCAGTATTCTAAACCTTTCTGTATTCTGATGCTTTATTGTCTCTTTGTCAAATGTATTTGTTGTTTTAGTTTTTATAGCCTGCCATAATGTATTCTGATGTTTTCTGTTAATAAACTGTCTTTTGTTAGAAATTACCTGCATGTATTTCTTCACTTTGCATATCATAAAATTAAATAATCTTTTTTATTTTATTTTATTTTTATTCATGGACTCCCTAAATATATAATAATTTGAATGATAATATAATTAGTTTTTTGGTTTGTTTTTTAAGCATGTTAACATAAAGCACCATTTTATTATAATATATATATATAATAATATGATCTTTCCGTACCCACTGTATATATTAGGGATGCACCGATACCACTTTTTCCAGTACTCGCCCGATACCGATACTTTTATCTTTGGTACTTGCCGATACATAGTACCGATACCGATATTTTTATTACATTTGTAAATTTTTTACATTTTGGGTACAGAAACCATAAGAGTATGTATAATGTTAGTTGGTTAACTTCATTATCAAATAAATACAGT